CTTTGATCACCCATTGTGGCCCCACCCGACCCCCGGGGGTCATGATTTGAGCAGACTTGAATCTACACTACCTGAGGATGTTTCCACACAAGTTTCATATTTTCAAGCACAGTGGTTCTGGAGAATATTTTTTAATGATGCCAATATTTTTTTACGAATTCATAATTATAGAAGGCGTGGCCCTTCATTTGAACAAACTTGAATTCCCTTTACCCAAGGATACTTTGTGGCAAGTTTGGTTGAAATTGGCCCTGTGGTTCTGGAGAAGAAGTTGAAGAAAAGTTTACAGACAGACGGACGGACAGACGGACTACAGACAAAATGTGATCAAAAAAGTTCACTTGAGCCTTCGGCTCAGTTGAGCTAAAATACTCTTCGAATATTGTTTAAGTCAACGAATATCGTAAATACAAGTAGACTTCCGAAGAATTCGTCCGTGACCATGTTGACATTAACGACGAACGCTCTAAAATGAAAGTAGCATACCGACGACAATCTTGATTTGCTCTGGTTTGTTTAAAGACGGGACAGAATATAGGATTTAGAAATATGAATTTGATGCTAATAAGACAAGAGTCTGAGGTGCGTTACTCTTTCCTATCAGCTACCGAGAATTAAGCTGATTTGCTTAGCATTAGGAACGACGATAATGTTCTCGTGATCTGACAGTGACATAAACATAACATTCCCGTTTGTCAGTCCTGTACGTCGCCAGTATTGCTTTTATTTAATTTAAAGTTTCTGTAATCGTATAACTAAAAACGACTAGAAGCATCGATTTGTTTTATTTTATTTTTTTTTTTTTACAATAAAAGCTAGGCCAAGAAAGTAGTTCTGGTTGAGAAGATTTATACATATACAAGCAAGAAACATTGAAATAATGACACTTGGGGCAAAACCTCCAATCTTAAGTCGCAAAGTAAAATTTTTTGAAAAAATAAAAAAGAAAACTATGTATAAATCAAAGTCTTTAAGAACATGAGACTACTCAGGAACAACATGACTAAGAAATCAGCTCCAATATTATCTATTCCTATTCGGTTCTTAAATTGAAGATCTGTAGTAAAAGTTACCATCTCGTCAGTCTGCTGTTAGAAGCTTTAGTCATCTGTAAATGCAACAGGGGTCTGTCTCCACAATAAACGATCTCTACCACATAAATAAGACTGAAATTTCTGAATTGTCCACACGAACGCAAGACACTCTTTTCTCTCCACTGAGTAACGTTGTTCTCTGTCTAGCAGCTTTCGGCTTGCATATGCAACAGAAAATGTATGTCCGCCATGCTTATGCATGAATACTGCACCGACTCCATGATTAAATGCTTCTATTCTTAGGATAAATGCCTTCGACAGTTCTGGCAATCTGAGAATTGGACTGTAGAACAACCTGGATTTAAGACTCTTAAGGAGATTCGTTCCTGAGCTTTTGAGCAGATTTTTGTCTTTATCTCAATTAAAAAAATCATAATGTTTTAATTCTTACAATAAATTTGAATTTTACAATGCTAATTTAACTATATTCAATTGAAACCCCATGATTAAATTCCATACCGAAAGCATTAAGTGAGGAACAATATATAGTAGCGAAAAGTTTTCTCAGAAGAAAATGATCAATTTTTCCCTTTTGAAGTCTTTACAGTATTGTTAAGTTTGGATTCCTATTTTTACGTGCAGCCTGCACATAGAATGTGATAACAAATTACTGATGCCCTTTTGTATATCATTGCGGGGGATTTACTTTCTCTTTCCATTGTTGACAGTAATTTTTTTTAAATGTAATTGAGAAACGTAACCCAAAATATCAGTTACTTAGTTGAAAGCATTTATTAACAAAGCTTATTCAGGAGAAGTCGACTGAAATCAGAGACGAACTAAAAGTGAATTTGGCAAAGGCAGTCCCAGTGTGTTTAACAATTGACATCTGGTAAAACCATCAAATGCGTGGATTCCTTTGAATCACAGGTCATTATGTACATGAATGGCAGATCTAGATGAAATCACTCATGATTTGTTGTAGGAGTTTTCAACAGTTCAGAAAACATCCTACGTGAATATGAAGAAACTGTTTCATCTTATGATTTTACTTTAAATTCAACCAGATGGAATTCCCAGCTTCACATGCTCAAGTCCATTTTAAAAGTTCCAGAGAGCAAATTGAACAGCCATAACTTGATACAAAGTATAAACTCTCAGCCTATGAGAGAAAACTGTTGCAGGAGTTTTGCCAGATCCTGGACCCATTTGAGGATGCCACTTTGCTTGTACAAGAGGAGGTGCATATGTAAATGTTAGTGGAAGCTTGACCATTCCTGTCACACTTGGCATAAAGCATCAGCTGCGCCAGATTTCTGCCATACATAGCAACAAGAAATCCAGACAGGTATTCACTCTGTGGAATCCAGGCTTTATCCGATTGAAGACAATGAGACATTCATTTTTGTTTTATTGGAACCCAGATATAAAACCAGATGGTCTCAAATCAGAGAAAGTGGAAGAGACTATTGGCCTTTTGAGAGAGAAAACAACCACTTTATATATATTGATCTTTCTATCTCCCCACAGAGCCCACCTACAAAGAAGGTTTTTAACCCCCCCCCCCCTCAACACCAAAACGGAAAAGAAATGTATCTGGGCATGTCACTGAGATAGATATTTACCTAGGGGAAGATTGCACAGATATGTCTGAAAATCCACCGACATACTGCAGCTGGGGTCAAAATCATTTCAGGTGTCCATGTCTTTCTAGATTAGCACAAAAGTATTTAGCAGTATCAGCGACTTCAGCACCTGTTGGAAGACTGTTCAGTGTGGCTGGAAAAAAATTCAGACCGGAAAGATGTCGTTTGAGTGATGCTTTGTTTAAATGATGATAATTAAATGATGATAATTTGTTTAATAATGATAAAAATGAACTCAAAAGTTTCAAAATATTTCAGCATATAATGCTTTGTATCTTGAATCTCAATGCTGCTTCAAAATATTTATGTATTTGTTCATCAAATTTTTTTTGGAAATAAAAATAATTGATATGTGTTTAATTACATTCTTCAAAGTAATTGAGAGTAATTTATTACAATTGTTAAAACAATGTAATTGAAATTTCTTTTTTTCAAATTCAAGTTCTCTTTCAGTCTTTCTCCCTTCTATATCTTCTACCCTTTCCGTCCTTTAAATTGTTCTCTCTCTTTTCTTTCAACAAAATCTTGTAAATCATTTCCTTGAAGTCTAAATTTTTCTCCACGTGTTACAAATCCATTGTTATAAAGAGCAACAAAAGAAAATATGACAATGACAATATCATATGTAAAAAATTAAATACCTGTAAGTAAAGAATTTGATGATATAAATCTTTGTAAAATAAACACTTTCTGATACAAAATGTATGAAAATAATGCAGGTATACTTGGCTAACAGGAATTCATTTCACCGCTGCCACCAAAACAGTCACAACGGACCTCTAGTTGTGAAGGGCTATTTAGATTACATATTTACAACCCAAAACATATATATTATATTGGATGACTCCGTTCACCAAGAAATATCAAGAATTGCAAAAATTAAAAATGAATTTATTTACACATGTACAAAAATAAGTGTCTACATGAGGTTATCCCTGGAAGGTTTTCCTCTACTTGTACCTCTACGTGTAACGATGTCGTCTATGGCCCATCATATCCTCCAAGGTTCGCCATGTCGTCACCGCCCAAGACAATCCACCCTGTTAATTCATCACGCGACACCAAGTCCCCAGAACATGTAAAATTTGGGCACTTACATTTTTTACACGGTTTTTTATTAACTCTTCGGAACACTAGTTTGTTTAAATTGCTAGATATTACAAACCAATTACATCAGAATACATATATCTATCGTAATAACTTCTTAAGAGGTGAAATGTAGCATAAAATACATTCTCAACAAATTTTTAACAGTTTTACAAAGAATACATATGTATTTCACTTTATAAAACTTACAATAAAATACTGTCCGGTGTTAAAGCTAACCTGGTGGTATTTTGTACAAAGAAAACATTTTGTCGTCAGCCTAGGACCTGCACTCAACGCCGCTTTAAAATCTACACAAGTAACTGAATCTCAAGATCACTCAGCAGGAACAAGACACATACAAGTTCATCGAGCATGGGCAACATTGCACATACACCCAAGATCACTAAGCATGGGTAGAATTCTACATCACGGTGTCCAAATCTCTTCTGACGAATACCAGACAACACTTAAAATAAATAACTGGCCAAACTACAAAATCGATATATACATTCATATTTCTTGATGAATTCGATGTTTGACAACAATTTTTTTTGTACGAACAGGGAGAATTAATAACTGTCTCAAAAATAATTGACACTTATGACATCTCTTTCTAACAACCATATATAAAAAATAGAATCATGTAGTTATAATAAAAAAAAAACATGTGTGCATTTGATATGAATAGAACTCAGGGTGCACTTGAAAAGTAAAAATTTCTCCGATCCTTCAAGTGATATTTATGCATTCTAATAACATACCGAATTCTTATATATAAAATGGTATGTAATTTTCCTGATATTAAGTTTTTATTTGTTAATGTAGACAATGAAATATGGCTAGAGGCGTCATTTGATATGAATGTTACATTTTAAACACGTTTTTTAAAAAGATAATTTCCTATCTAGTCATCTCTCTTCTAATTTGAGTCATTTGTCCGTATTTTAACTCAAAAAAGAAGCAAATATTTTGCAAAAGAAGAAATTGGAGAGGAGAAATGGAGATCATAAGAGGTGAGCTTTTCATCAAAATATATTGTTGTAAAAGCACAGCTTAATTTAATTTATTAGTGTTTAAACACTTTCGTTAATTGTACTAAATTAATTGTACTTTTTAAAGCTAAAATTTACCGACTGAGATGCCGTGACGTTTGTTTAGGTAATAGATCTTGACAATTGACAATTCAATCTTGTAATGAACTTTGTACTCCTTTCTACAATATGATTTTCAGATTTAAGGCCAGTTCAGAAACCCAAAGCCGTCGACATTTCAATATCCAAATGGGACATAAGACATTTACGATGAAGGTGGCAGGGTATAGTTTTTTTCATGGCGAGCAGGTATAATACATGCAGTCAATAAAAACATATACATGTACATGGGGACAGTTTTCCAAGGACTAGTTTATTACACTTCATATGCCCATAGCTCACAAATTATGTCAACATAAACACATGTAAGATACCTATCTGAGTGTACATGTACCGAAAATGCACTTAGGGACACCCCTAATTTTGGCTTGTTTTTCAGGATTTGTGCCTCAGTCGCACCAATACAGTCCACCCCCAGTCCCAAGCAAGGAGGATAAAACGTCCAGTATTCTTAAGTTGAGTACATGCCCTAATGAAAATTCACCAGTTGATCTGAGGCCATTCACCTTCCCTCTGAGATTCACACCTTCTAAGCCCTACTGCTTTCCTGCTGAATTTCCTATGCAACTGACCACGTGTCTTGGTTTCGCATTTACAACTCTGTGTATGCTAAGCATCATAGTGACACCTAGATGTTGCACATCTTTTTTTCGTCAAGCACTCAGCTACATTTTTTTAAAAGAAAAATGACAGTAGTCATTAGCCCCCTGCCACCGAAACTTTAAAACAGTGAGTTGAACCTAATACATTACGACTATAGAGAATAAGATATTTTGATTCGATGTTTGATCTGGAAAAAAACGTGAACTTGGCAAGTCGGAAACACGCAATAGGGTATTGCTGATGTCATGCAGAGTGTGTAATGGCCTTGACTCGAGTTCAAAGTCTTTAAGAATAAGATGTTTTTGGATGAATAGTCTGAAAGGATATGTGTGAACTTGTCAAGTCGGTAACACACAGATGGGGTTTGCTCATAACCAGCTATTGCCCGCGTGAGACAGTGTTTAGAGCATCTGTTCTAGAGTCGCGGAGTAAGGAGCTGATCCTTAAGTCGCGGGTTCGAATCCCACTGCGGGACCTGGAGACCGCTCCTTCAAATGAGACCGTTTAAACCGAGGTCCCGTGTCTCAGTAGGTGTTGGCACGAAAAAGATCCCTCACTACTCATTGGCCCTGAGTGCCGAGTATAAGTATGAATTTCCAGCTCTCCAACGGCAAGTGGTGGCGTCTCTATATGAGTGAAAAATTCTCGAGAGGGACGTTAAACAACAACAAACAAACATAACCAGCAACAGAATATATCATGGCTTGACGCAAGGTCATTTGGACAAGTTCAAGGTCACTGACAGGGGAATTGTACATTTCTAACCTGTCTTTCTACTGGTTAAACATTGCAAGTAGATACCACAAAAAAGATCGCTAATAAACTTTTGGCATGACCTTGACTTAAGGTCACTTTGCCCTTTCCGCAGCTCCAACGGAAGACCTACTCGTTGCTTTGCAACGAGCTCTGCTCTAATTTACATCTACAACTTGTTTGCAAAATTAAAATCTTATTTAAGAATGTTCATTGTGATTTGCCAAAACCCGTTTGCGTCAGATGTTGAGCGAGAAGTGTCCTGGAAATGGAAAATATGACCCCTCCCAGTTTGTACTACTTTGTAATGAAAATGAAATTCGGAAATCCTTTCTAGGTTTCTGCGCTCTTTATTAATATCCACCTAAGGAGAGGGCTATTTACCTTCTGCTCTCTTTCCTATTGATTTATTTCCACTTTCAACAATAGTAAATTACCAAGACCTGCACTTTATACTCCTGAATATAAAAAAATATCTATCAGCTGCAGTCAGCAATATGGCAGATTCCATGTATTTAGCAGAAATTCAGCACATTGTTTGTATTTATACCAAATTTCCACGAGGCTCATAAGGGTTTCAACTCTTTTTTATATTATTTTCAATTCCCTATAGTTCTATGGAAATGAACAATTATTACAAAACCCATTATGAAGATGAGAATGACCGAATATGCCCTATGTCACATGCCCGTAAGTGATTAAATTACCGATTAATTTTGCAGTTAATATTTTGAATTTAATATAGAAATAAAAAGAAAAATACAACCAAGAAAGTGACATAGATCAAAAGGAGTTAGATTTTACTAGTATTATCTTCATCTACATTTGAACAACATTTTGTAGTATATGAAGTTTATCGACGTCTTATTTGGGCAGATTTAACCACAAAATCAGGTCAGAGCTTACTTGCTGCCAATTTTTAATTGTCTAAGTCATGTTGTCGACAATGAACAATTGAGTCAAATATTTGATAAAGTCATGGTCAAACAAGGCGCACCAAGGCAAGAAACTGAAATAAAAACTGCCCTCGCTCCTTGAATTAATTGGATTCTTATGGAAGTTGTTCCACACTTTGCATGCATTCCTTTCCTTTTGGCAGATTTAAATTGGAAAAGAATTTCTGACCAACATTGTGTGGGGAAAATGCCATGAAATTGCAATTTGTCTTTGAGGTCTTTGCTTTGCTTTGTTCACTCTACTAATTGGGGCATTTTTCTCAGACGGATGTTTCTTATGGAGGTTTAGTAGCTTTTTGATTACAAGGAGGAGGTCGCCCAATTGGCGCAGTGGTTAAAGTGTTCGTTCTAGAGTCGCGAAGTAAGGAGTTGATCCTTACTTCGCAGGTTCGAATCCCACTGTGGGACGTGGAGACCTGTCCTTCGAATGAGACCGTATAAACCGAGGTCCCGTCCGAGTATAGGTCAAAATTTGCAGCTCTCCGACGGCAATTGGTGGCGTCTTCATATGAGTGAGAAATTCTCGAGAGGGACGTTAAATAATACACAAACAAACAAATTACAAGGAGGAGATTAAATTTAGTGGCATAAGCAAGTGGGAGAAAGTGTGAAAGTGTGTACGCAACTGTAGAGAGAGAATGTTTGGCCATTGTTTGAGCTATTCAGAAATTTCTTCTACAACTGTACAAAACTCGTTTGATGTGTAGTCTAAGAGAAATAAATGCTTTATTATGTTTTATAGGAGAAAAATGTTCTTATTCATTATATAATTAAACTAAAGTTAAAAGTTCTTTTCAGAATAGAGATATTTAAAACTAAATATTCTCTTTTAATGAATTAAAGATAACAATGGAGTATTTTAATTGTGTAACTGGAGAAAAATTAAATAAATAATTTGTTTGTTCACACACGCGATACTCGGGGACATGAATAAAAGTTGGCTTACAGTATCTTTACACAAGTATATTGTCCTGAATGGACAGATTGCTTCATTAAATGTAGTCTGGTCCGATTTATAGAAAAAAAATACTCCCAACGGCAAATAATCATTATTTGGTCCAGCATAGTTTTTTAACCTATTTCGAGTATGCTGAATCCGAAAAAAATATGCTGGCCTCCATGAAAATGGCGTAAGAAGTTCAAAATGGCGGTTCAAAATGGCAGACATCCAAGTTTTCTAATTTTCTCTTAATGTCTTTCAAATAGGAGAAAGAATGTGTGAATATCTCATTGAGTGTATTGCAACCGTAAATGTTTGGCCATTGTTTGAGCTATTCAGAAATTTCTGCTACAACTGTACAAAACTCAGTTGATGTGTAGTCTAAGAGAAAAAATGCTTTATTATGTTTTATAGGAGAAAAATGTCCTTATTCATTATATAAACTAAAGTTAAAAGTTCTTTTCAGAATAGAGATATTTAAAACTAAATATTCTCTTTTAATGAATTAAAGATAACAATGGAGTATTTTAATTGTGTTACTAGAGAAAATTTAAATAAATAATTTGTTTGTTCACACACTTATACATTACATACATTTTATTTGTGTTACATTTGTCCTTCATAATGAAATGCGTGGAGATAACGAACAGTATTCAAGCTCAAAGTCCATTAAACAATACAAATTTTGGAGCAGAACAAACACATAAAGAGAAAGATTCTGAATTAACTATTTTTGTTATAAAAGAATTGGTTATCTATTAACTGGGAATAACATATAGACATTGAGATATACATTGACTGTTGTCAAATTCTGTGTACATGGGTTGGAATTCTTCCAGTTCTTTAGATTTCAAAGGCAATACTGAAGTTTGAATGTGTTTCAAATGAATTCCAAAGTACATGTAATGACTGAGACTCATATTGCATTTTTTTTTGCCTAATGACCATGATATTTAAGAAATGTCCTTAAATCTTCACGTTTCAGAATTTTAGTAGAAAATATAGGTCATGAGCAACAACATACTAAGGACTGGTTTTATTCCAATAAAGGGCAACAAGAGTTCACGATTTGAAAGTAGACAGACAGACAGCTGTGTCAAAATTATAACTTCGGCCCTCGAAAAACACACCAAATTAAATATTACATTGAATTCCATGTACTTAATACCGGTAGTGTTTTCAATACCTTGCTGGATAGCTCAATAGGGTACACAGTTTGGTCGAACAAGTACCACTTTAGGTTAAAATCTAGGTCAATAGCTTACTCAGATGTGACATTAGATTTCACAGGTATATATGATTTGATTTCAATGGTATTCTGCTATTAACAAACGCAATATTTTGCTCTAACTGCAAATATTTTTTTTTTTGGTAAAATTGGATGCTCTTTCAGAAACACATGTATCTTCAATATGCAGTATGGCAACTATTCTTTCTGATTCCTGCAAAGATTTGTGATTTATTTGGGGGGGGGGGCTATAATTGATTTCATGACCTACAATAAATTTTAAACATGTCATTTTTTTATCTGGACAAAAAGTTTCATTCTTTTCTATGAGCAGTAGCACCAACAATAGCTAACGTTCACTGCTTTAGAATAACATTATTAACATTGCCCATCTGGCATCCAAATGTGTTCAAAACCAGGAAAACATTACTCATTATTGCACTTTTCAAAATCTCTTTACCCAAAGATTATCCATTTAAGGGAGCCAACTGGGGTTTTATTGTGTGAAAACTACTATAGAGAAACTCTTTAATTTTATACTATATGTACCTTACATTGACTTCAGTATATATGCCAAGTTTAGTGAAAATCTACCGTCTGGTTATTTTTTAGGGACCATCTCAAAATACAGGTACATTTACTATAGGATTATATATGAAAATACCATTTTTTCGCACTTAGGAGAAAATTATACAAATACTACTATAGACTTTTTGCTCAAATTACATTATTTGATGGATAATACTATATTGTACATTTTGGGCAAGAAACACAAAATTCTACTGTCTGGTTTCCAGAGGGGGCATCTCAAAATATCAAAATTCATGATATTTTCCTGTTTTTATGGAGTACAACAAAACATGACATATACCACAGATTTACATAAAAAGTTATAAAAATGATTGCTAGATTCTCAATTTCCTATATTTAAAATTTCAAGAGCATATGTTTTATACT